TTGTATCTAATATATAAATCTATCTAATAAATATATATTGATATAGTCAAGCTATAATAAAATAAATAATATTAATTTGAAATTAAACTGTTTATATAATAACAAATATATTTCTTAATAATTAATAAAAATTGTGCACTAATATGAATAACACCACCTGGATATTCTACTTCAAGTCAAATCTACAAGAAATCCTAAATGATATCAGAGAATTTTACAAAACAAATGACTTACAGATCAATATTCTCAAATCAGTTCTACTAAATATAAATAATACAGAAGACCAGGAAAACAATTTCATAAAAGCAATAATAGATTAAGTGCTAATCTATAAAATAAAAGTATATGAGGCAATATAGTTCCTAGGAATCTGGTTTGGAAGCAAAAATTTGAAAAAAGATACAATCTACAGAATTCAACATGAAATTAATAAGATAACACCAGTACTTAAAGGAAAAAAAGTGATGGATAAACAAGCTCTATATATATTTAACAAGGTTTTCATTCCAAAAATCAAATATAGAACACAAAACTGTCATATCCTACAGAAAAAATATAAAAAACTTACAAGGCAATACAGAAAGATACTGAAGCATAAAGTAGAAGTCTGCAGTACTATTTTTAATAATGTCATTCATAATAAAGAAATCTTTGATTTGAAGTACAGTACATAAGGAATATCCAAACAGAATTACAAATTATAGGACTCTTTAATAGACTTAATGATAGAGAAGCTGTTGATAAATTAACAGTAATAAGACTTAAACAGGCCTAGCTTAACCAACCAATATTCTTTCTGATTACATTTCAGAAACTTTGATAGTAAGTGTAACTTTATAGCCACAGTCCTAAAATTGATCAATAAGATAGGATTCAAGTTTCAAAACAAGTTTTTAAAAGATAGCTTTCAATGGGCTGGAGGCTTCTACATTATCAAGAATGAATTAAGTAATGACTATTTGTACAAAAAATTCATTTAATCACTTAAAATAGACAACTTATATATATAGACCAGCTAATTGATACTGACCTAGAGATTTTGTTAGACTGAAATCTTATTAAACCAATACTTTCAGGTTTATAGAAAGAATATACTCCACAATGGTATAGCAAGCTTAGAGAAAAAATCATAGACAACAAAGAACTCAAGCTTAATGACAACTGGATATCAAAACTATGGAAAAAAAGAAGTACAAGCTGGTTCAGCAAGGTTTCTCCAGACAAAAGAATCAAGAAATGATATATATTTAAAAATAAACAAAACAAAATACAATGGAAAAAATAAAAACAAAAAATGAACTAGCAAACAGAATATTTATACTCTATTGTTATAACTGTTGGCATCTGGACCAGAACAAACTATTCTTAAAGTCAATATTAAACCTATTTGCAATCTAAGCAGCTTTTAGACAAATTCAACAATAGAAGTTTTAGCAGAATCAAGATAGAAAAAAAATATTCTGGACTGTAACTTCTTAAATAGAACACATGGCAACAATAAAAACAAGGAAACAAAAATTTCTTGTAACTCATATATACTTGAAAAATAAGTACTGGCTATACATGTGGCATAAATTATTTTGCTGTTGATTCAATTCCCAAAATTCTCAAAAATAATTGTGCCATGACTCAATTATTTATATGTTTTAATAGTGACTCAATTAATTGTATCAAATAATTGCATCAATTGCGTCAAGGATCCACAAATTTCAGCAATATGAATAGTACTGACAGTATTCAAAATACTATTCAAATATATGGAAATGGCCAAGCTGCAGAAGGTTACAATACTAGATTAGAATATAAAGTTAATTAAAAAAACAGTTAAGTCAGAAGATTACAAAGTAGATCTTATAGAAGCTTTACTTAATAACAAATATCTATCACACCCAAATATTATACAAACAATTTATTAATATGAATTTTATACAGATAAGTTTTTATTAAACAAAGAAATAAGAAAAGAGAAGACCAAAATGAATACTACATAGATTCAAACTTAAGGATTTATATCCAATTGCAGATTTCAATGTAGAGTTCAAGACTGGCCATTATCATGTAGAGCAGAGGCCATAATTATCTTAACAGTAATCTTTATAGTATAAAGAGAAAAGAAGATCACTATTTATACATATAATCAAAACTGTATCAATATCTTTGTCACAATTTTCAAAGCCAACTCCAAACTGACTTACAAAAGATAGCTCAAAATTAACAACTAATTAATTTGATATAATATATTAAAAACTATTGGAAAAAAAAGTCTAAAGCTTAAGCTCAATAAGATAAAAACATACTTTGATAATGCATATAATGAATAAGCAAACTAGCTTGTCAAACAAGTTATCCAACTTTTAGTGATTACATGGTTTCCAACAAGTGGCAAATATATACATACTATTACTATTTGATATAATAAGATGTTGGTACAGCCCCAAGAAACTTCATCAAAAAGAAATTAATAAAACAGCAAACTTAAAAGCTTAGATAGTGTCGTGGGTAAAAATGTAGGATGTCATGGGTATAAAAGTGGAGTACAATGACACGGTACATGTTGTGTCGCGTAAATGGTATGTTTATGGTAGAATCAGTGGGAAAGTAGTGGTGGAAAAATTAGAGTAGAATGCCTTATGTAATCGTGTGGCGCAAAGCGATTAGCATGTAAACAATACTAGCATGTAAACAAACTAGCATGTATAAATATGACCATCGAATGAGCGAAATAAAGCCAAGCAGACTTTAGGTAGCATTTACTGAAAAATCTGACTTGAAGCATTTAAACTCTTATTTGTGTTTACTATTTCTATCGATTGTTTTCACGCCCATACCTTGCTCACGTGACTATACAAACCAGAGTTCGGCTAGAAAGATTGGGAAAGTTCTAGCAACTACAAGAGTTCCAGTATAGGATGTTCGGTGTAAAGTTAGGAAACGAAACCAGATCGGTCAAATCGTGACACGCCTCAAGAGTTTAAACCCACATTACGCGAAGTTTACCTATCTTTGGTGAAAGACTCGCCGGTTAGCCCACGACATTTGGTGGTAGACCGTGAGATTCGAACATCAATGAATTAAGAACATCGTTCGTTTACCCCCCCCCCCCCCCCCGATAAAAATACACAAACATTAATTAAACGCTGATCATAATTAACAAACAAACCTTAACAAACGCAATTAAAACGCTTACCATTTCCGGAGAAAACGTGACCAACTCGTGACCAGATAGAAAAAGGAGATGCCACTAGAGCCAGATTATCGCGACAATGGGAGTGATTCGGATGAAGACACCCCACAAACCCACCATCGACCGCGAGACGTACTACGAGATTTGGTGAGAGTTCTCAGCAACCTAGAAAATCAAAAAGCTAGGTCGGAAGAAAATGAGGAAAAAGAGATTCAATGGGTTAAGGTACGGGAATTTGGAGAAGGAGAAGAGGAGGATCCATACTCGTGGCTGGAGTCGTATAAGAGGATCGCCAAAACAAATAACTGGTCAAACAACAGGAAATTGAAGTTAGTCGCAAGCCACTTGGAAGGCCATGCGGCAAACTGGTTCGAAGATCAACAGGATCAAATTACGCAATGGAATAATGAGAATGACCGCGAAGGAAGCTTCGTTTCAAATTTTTTACAGTATTTCGTAACGCCCAAACAACGACGTCGATGGCACACGAAACTAATTAATATAAAGCAAAAGAGTGGAGAGAAAGTGGTTACCTACGCCCAGTGATTCCGGAAGCTACTAAGGAGGGCCGACCCCGATGATGACATACCAAGAAGGAGTAGGGTCAGGTTTTTCGTGGGAGGACTAAGAAGGAGGATTGCGATGTCAATTACCGTCGAGCACCACACTACGCTAGAGGAAATAATTAAAGAGGCGAAACGAGTGGAGGCAAACGAAGAATATGGGCTATACGATAGGGAGGAAGAACCAAGAAAAACGAGAAGACTAGAGGACGAGATCCAGGAATTGAACCAGCAACTCCGGGAACTGAGGATGAGTTACGGCAAGCCTAATGTCACCGGAGAGTACAATACGAGAAGACCTAAGACACCAACAGAAGGGAACGACCGAGGGTGTTTCGAATGTGGCGAAAAGGGGCATCGTGTTAGAAACTGCCCGAGGAAAGAAAATACTCCAAAAAAGGTTCAACAAACCGGCGAAGTGCAATATTTCGAAATTGTGGAGGAGAGTGATGATGATGAACGAGAGGGAGAAGTCTACGCCTTGGGACAAGAGTAATTAACCAACATGGAGGCGAGTAAGAAAAAGAGGAAGGAGGCACCGAATTCGGAATCAACATGGGAGGGATGCTTGAGGAGTAAACCTAAACTCGGAGAATCAGAACCGGATCACAGCGATGACAACGATGACATACCCATAATCAACGAGGACGAAGAGATGAGGGAGGTACCCCCTCAGAGGAAACCGCGCAGGAAACGAGGGCCATCAGTAGTGGAGCAGGCACCTCCCTACAACATTGTCGATGACATCTTGTCGAAACCCGCGAGTGCTACGATCGGACAACTCCTACAATACCCCAACCAAAGAAAGCTATTAGCAAAGGCCCTTCGGAGGACGCCACCAGAGGAAGAGACGAACTACGTTAATACAAGCGAAAAGAAAACAACTGCAATGAAATGCCAGATACAAGTTAACAAAACCCCGATCACCGCCATCGTCGATACGGGAGCTGCCGTGAGCTTCATCACGAAGAAGTTAGCGGACCGATTGAGCCTTAGGATAGAGGAAAAATCTGTAATGAAGATAGTGACTATCACGGGAATAAGGACAAGAACATTAGGTAATATTAGGAGCTTGAAAGTAGAAATCCAAGGCGTTTCGATCCCCACTCCGCTACAGGTGGTTGACTCTAAGGATGAGACCTTCCTCCTGGGGAACGATTGGTTTGAGAGATTGAGGGCCAGGATATATTACGATGAACAAAAGTTGGTAATCAACCATGAGGGCAGAGTGTTAAAGGTGCCAATCTCAAACGATGCTACTAGAAAAGTTACGCTTAGTGGGACCGGAGAGGTTGAGGAGTCAGGTGATGAGGATGAGATATGGGACGAAATAATCTATGAGGATGAGGAGGTGGACGAGAGGGAAGTATACTACACGGAGGGAGCATTTAATGAAACGAACGCCCAGGGTGAACAAGAATTAGACCTACCGGGACCTTCGGTGTACTTATCTCAGGTGGAGGAGTTCCCTACTGAAACTGAGGAAGATCAAGAAGAGGAAGAGACCGTAGAAGATAAGATAAGGGAAATGGAGTTAGATGAAGAATTAGAGGAAGAACAAATAGAGCAGGCAAAAGGGGCATTGATAAGGGAGCAAGATGTTTTCGCGCAAACCATGCAGGAGTTAGGAAGTACTGAGGCAGTACAGCACACCATTGATACCGGTGATGCAACTCCGATCAAGCAAAATGCCTACAGGGCCGCACCAGATGTGAAGAAGTTTATCAAGCAAGAGATAGCACAGTTAAAAGAGAGGGGATTAGTTCGTGAATCGAGAAGCCCGTGGTCCTCACCTATAGTCGTAGTGCCGAAGAAAGGTGGAAAACTATGGTTGTGTGTAGACTATCGAAGATTGAATGCAGTCACTAAAAAAGACGCGTACCCTTACCATGAGTCGATGACCTAATTGAGGCCTTCGTTGATGCCAGATGGTTCAGTACCATAGACCTGTTATCAGGTTACTGGCAGGTAACGATGAAGGAAGAAGACAAAGAAAAGACGGCATTTGTGACAGCTTGGGGGACATACGAATTTAACGTCATGCCATTCGGATTGTGTAATGCTCCCGCGACATTTCAGCAGTTGATGAACACCCTCTTGCATGAGTCTATTGGGAAATTCGTGATCGTTTATTTGGACGACGTAACTATTTACTCCAAGACATTCGAGGAACATCTAAGTCACATTAGTCTCATCATAAGCGAAATAAGGAAAGCTGGATTAAAGCTAAACCTTGCGAAATGTACATTCTTCCGTTCGAATATTGAATTTTTGGGTCACGTGGTTGGGCGAAATGGAATTCGACCTGATGAAGCGAAGATAGATAAGGTTAAGAACTTCCCCATCCCAAAGAATTTGCGACAGTTACGAGGGTTCATCGGCTTGGCGTCATATTACCAACGATTCATTAAGGGATTTTCTACAATCGCGCGACCACTACATCACCTGATGAAAAAAAATGTTAAATTTAAATGGGAGGCTGAGCAGAACTACGCATTCGAAACTCTGAAACGACACCTGATTACCGCACCAATCTTGAGATACCCAGATTATTCCAGGATGTTTTATCTGCATACCGATGCATCTGGATCGGGATTGGGAGCGATTCTGTCACAACGGGATGAGGATGGCAAGGAGTACGTGATAGCCTACGCCAGTCGAGGGTTAAATAAACACGAGCGAAACTACGCAACCACTGAGCTGGAATGCTTAGCTATAGTATGGGCGGTTGAGCATTTCCAGTACTGCTATGGCATGAACCCCTTCGTCGTCATAACTGACCATGCTGCTTTACAATGGTTGCAAACATCACGACTCACCGGGAGACGTGCGAGGTGGATCCTATGCCTGCAACCGTTTAACTTCTCAATCGTGCATAAGAAAGGAAAAGGGCACAATAACGCGGACGCGTTATTGCGCCTCTAAAGACCCATTCTAGAAATTTCGAGAAAAAAAAAAAAAAAAAAAAAAACAAATATAAGAATCGGTCGAACGACATCCTTTATTTACATTCTCATTCTGTTATTACCTTTATTCCGCTACCCTTTCTATCATTCGTCTTTTCTTGATTTCGCGTTGTTATTATCATCATTTCACTATTCCTTTTTGTTATTCCTTTTTATTTCTATTTTTATTTTTATGTCATTTTCTTCCTACGTATCTGTTTAAGATGGACCCAACACACTTTAGCTACCTAAGGAACTACCTACGGAATCACAGTTTGCCAGCGGATATGGAACTAAAAGAGAAACGGCGAATACAGAAGAAGAGTGAAAGCTACCTGTTTAAGGAGGTGATCCTGTACAAGAAGAATAAGAAGAAAAAGGGACACCTGTTGCATGTAATTCAACGTCATGAAGTGGAACCTGTTCTATATCTCATGCACAAACACCCATTGGGTGGACACTTGAACAAGGATGCTATATTCAACAAAATTCGGGATATTTATTATTGGCCGCAAATGTATGCCGATATCCAAGCATATATACAACAATGCGATCAATGACAGCGCCGTGGGAAATCGCTCACTCCAGGACCATTACGGTCAATACCTGTTATGACACCATTTGGCCAAATTGGAATTGACTTTGTGGGGCCCCTCCCCAGTACACCACGACGAAATAGATATATTCTTGTTGCTGTGGACTATATGACGAAGTGGCCTGAAGCAGTAGCTGTCAAACGTGCAGATGCAGCAACTGTAGCAAACTTTCTATACGATGAAATTATCTATCGTCATGGGTGCCCTGAGCGTATACTCTCTGATCGAGGAACACACTTCAACAATAGTGTAATAAAAGAACTGGTCAATAGAATGGGAATAGAACACAAACTATCGTCACCCTATCATCCACAAACAAACGGTTTAACGGAACGATTCAATCAAACCTTATGTGAATCTATTGCCAAACTTGTACGGAATGTAACCGATTGGGATCTCTTAATTCCATCTATTCTTTTTGCGTACAGGACTGCCAAGCAAGCCTCAACTAAAATGTCACCATTTTATCTAGTCTATAGTCATGAGGCTCGACAACCGATTCATCCAAGTAGAACTGAAGGAAAGCTGTTGGAAGGAACGTTCTTACAGAGGATGTTTGACTTAATAAACCAGTTACCTAAGGATAGGGAAAAATCAGTTAAGCAGATTCGGCAAACACAAGAAAAACAAAAAAGGTACTATGATACTCATCAAAGATTAACCCAAGTATTTGAGATCGGTGATAAGGTACTGATGTACCATGCCGCTCTGGAGCATTCCAAAAGCAACAAATTTGGATCGAAATGGCGAGGTCCCTACTATATCCACGATAAGTTATTAGGAGACACTTATAAGTTGCGCACTATGGATGGTCGAGTAATCGCTAGTCCCATAAATGCAAAGATCCTAAAAAAATATTATGAATCGGAATGAAGGTTTGACCTTATATGTGGTGCGCATAAGATAAGCGTGGGGGAATGTCATGGGTAAAAAGTGAGGTACAATGACATAGTACGTGTTGTGTCGCGTAAATGGTATGTTTATGGTAGAATCAGTGGGAAAGTAGTGGTAGGAAAATTAGAGTATAATGCCTTATGTAATCGTGTGGCGCAAAGCGATTAGCATGTAAACAATACTAGCATGTAAACAAACTAGCATGTATAAATATGACCATCGAATGAGCGAAATAAAGCCAAGCAGACTTTAGGTAGCATTTACTGAAAAATCTGACTTGAAGCATTTAAACTCTTATTTGTGTTTACTATTTCTATCAATTGTTTTCATGCCCATACCTTGCTCACGTGACTATACAAACCAGAGTTTGGCTAGAAAGATTGGGAAAATTCTAGCAACTACAAAAGTTCCAGTATATGACGTTTGGTGTAAAGTTAGGAAGCGAAACCAGATTGGTCAAATTGTGACACGCCTCAAGAGTTTAAACCCACGTTACACGAAGTTTACCTATCTTTGGCGACAGACTCGCCGGTTAGCCCACGACAAGAGGTTAAAAGGTTTTTCACAGTTCTATCCAAGATTTCACAATCTTATTTTGATTTCCCTCCTTTCAAAACCCCACTACCACTTGACCTTGATCAATTGGATCTTGAATTTGAACAGTATTTCTCACTGGATACTACAGTACATGACATAGGTTTAGTATATACATGTTGCTAAAATTTGTAAATTCTTGATGCAATTGATGCAATTGATGCAATTGATGCAATTGATGCAATTGACGCAATTATTTGACACAATTAATTGAGTTACTATTAAAACATATAAATAATTGAGTTATGACATAATTATTTTTGAGATTTTGAAAATTGAATCAACAGTAAATAATTTACACTACATGTATAGTCTATTAGTATATAGTCTCAAAACCAAATACTACTTCAAGCATCTTCCATCATATTTTTTCAAACAAAAAAATCCATTACCACATAAGACTCACTCAATTCAAGATATTCTCTTATCAATAAACAAATAAATTCTTATAATCAACAAATACAATATCTACTTATTAATTAGTCATCTCAAAAAAAAATTCTTCTTTTTACTTTTTCTTTTACTTTTCTTAGGCTTCCAGTGGGTTTTGCCAGTAATTTTTCAAACAGATAAATCCAAATTATCAACAAATATTCAAGAAGTAGACTTATTATTTAACCTTGGCCAATTTATTCCAAGGGACAATAAGTTAAAACAATTAATCAAAAAACTTCACAATATATATGAATTTTAAAAAATCTTTGATGAGTGGTTCCAGACTTCTCTACTATCACTACCAGAAGATCCTGTAATCATTAATCAAGTTTTAAAAGAAAAAAATATCTTTTTAATCAATATTTCCTTGCACTATAATGATCTTCTTTTAACTAATATAATGGAACTACACAAGATCTTCCTTTTCAACAAACTTCTTGAATCCCTAATTACTAAAGAGACACTCCCAAAACTGAAGTTCGCTTTCACTCCCTCTTATATTAAACTATTTATGTTTATAGACAACAATATCACTATTGATTTCCTTATACTTATAACTCCCCTATATTATTATACCTTAACTTATTCACTATACATCATGATATAACTCAACACTTCACTACTAACCTTTCTATTCAACCAGAACCCACCTCAAATACAAACAATACAAAAAATCTTATTACACTTATTACTATTAATACAATAGGTTTCAACAACACTGCCAAACTAAGAATTCTTGCAAATGCCAAAAGTGAAAGATCAATCATCTTCTGCACAGAAACCAAACTCAAAAGAGAAACTTTCATATCAAAAACATTAATGGTGGATATTTAATCTACAGAAAATCTATTAACATAGCAAAGAATAGAAAGGAAAAACAAATATTTTGCTTTTAGGCATATATCTTTCCCATAATAGAAAGGAAAGAAAAACAGCTGTCAAACAAATCTACCAAACAACCAAATTTACCATTTGTTACTAACTTTAACATATAATAATGAGTAATTTCAACTTATATTCCAAAAACAACCTATCCATTAATACTTTAACCTTACCATCTAAACAAATCATTTAAAAATATTTTAACAACTATGTGAATATTGGTCAATAGTTTGATGCCAAGGCATTTATACATATTATTGCCACTAGCACCTCTTGCATTGATCAAGTATAGGTCTTCAGAAACATTGTTACCAAGGTTATCTGATATAAAGTAAAAGACCACAATCTAATTTCTACAGACCATTACATAGTCTCAATTAAACTCAACTACTTTGAGTTCAGAAAAACCAAGTCCACTTTTAAATTCAGTATTGAAAAAACTTCTAAAGAAAACATAATAGAATTCACAAATGAACTGGACTTATGGACTGGTCTTCTTTAATTAACAAGCTGGGAAGACTTCAACAATATCTGCAAAGATACATTAAACAAGTTCATCAAGAAAGTTCAAACAAGCCCAATACAAAAGAATCACCATATCAATGCAGAAAAAAAACTCAAAAAACAAACTAGAAGGATTAATAGAGCCATGATACATCTTAAAAACAATCAAATATCTCCTTCTTTTATCCAAAAACTGGATACCTTATATGAAGCATCCAATAGTTATAACAATTTATTACTAAAAGATCTTCAAAAACTCAAAAACTTCTAATCAAAGAAGCTTTCTTACAATTCCAACAAGAATTACTGATCAAATAATAAACAAACTTTGAAAACATGATCGAAAACTTCTATATTAAACGCAAAAACTATATTAAAAAGGCACTTGGCTCAATAAAGCCAAAACTAGATCTTCACAAAATTTATAATGACAAAGAAGTGGGTTTTTGGAAGAAAAGAAAATTTGAAAAGTGCAGAGATCTGGCTACTTCTACTGTGATGTTTCTGTTGATAATAGAGATTTTAAATAAAATTTTGACTTTGATTTGGGAAGAGACTTTTTCTGAAGTTGAGGGAAGATTTGGGAGAAGCTCTGTAAATATCTTTTTGCATTTTTGTTAAATAGAGATGTAATTAGCTTTTCTCTATATTTAGAATAATAGAAAAGATTACACCTATATTCCAGAATCTAAGAAAGCAATCTGAATTCCAAGTCACTGATTTTGATGTAACATAGGTATGCAATAAAGATACTTGTATTTAGAAGAAGTCTGATTTTGTACTTGACTTCATATTTAAGCTAGGAGATGTTGTTTTTTTTTTGTAGTTTGATTAAAAGCTAAATTTTAAAGCTTTATATTTTTTTTGATAAGCATTCTTAAGGCCTTCAAGCTTATTGAAAGTAAAGAAGCTTCTGTCTTTAACTTCTATTTTAATAAAAATTTCTAAGTGGAGTTTTTGCTTAATTGGTCCTTTGGGAGTGTTGGCTATGTCAAGGATTGGTTTGGCTAATTCCTTGGGATTGCTTCTGATAGAAGAGAATTTGAAGGCTTAGCAAATAATCACATCATGCTTACTAGCAAAATCTGGCAAGATAAAGCTGTCTGTTTCATCTGTATTCATATTTGGAGCATCATACTCTTCAATATCTATGGATAGAAGCAGTTGGTCTTCTTCATATCTAAGTAGTTTGGCTCTTGCTATATCTATTTTCTCTTTACATAATGCTTTTTTATTATACTTGTTTTTGATTATAGGATTTTTAGTAATGTTTGGTTGTTTAGCTGTCACTAGTAGAATTGGAGATATGGGTCTTGAGATAAAGTTTGCACTGAAGCATGGAGTAGCAGTAACTATAATGTTAGAGAAGTTGACTGGATTCTCTAATTAACTTAGAACAGAAATACTTTCTTTCTCTTGATAC